TTTTAACTGGGGATTGAACTCAGGCCCTTGTACTTGCCAGGGAAGCACTTATCCTACTAAGCCATCTCCCCAGCCCCTCTCTCCACCTCTCAATCCCCTTCCTTACCGCAAAAGATCTGTCTCTGTACTTCCTATTCCCTACCTTTCATTTGCTCTTTATTGAACTTTGGATTCCTCAGCTAAGAGAAGCCATGCGACGTTGAGGCCGGAGTGCGCGACTGACTTTACTGAGCAGTATGGTCTCCGGGCTCATCCATTTCCCTCCAGATGACGCAGGTTTATTTGCGGCAGAGCAGGGCCCCATGGTGCGCAAATACCACACGCTGCGCATTCATCTGTCCGTGGCCATGGAGGCCGCTTCTGAGACCCAGCTGCTAGCCCACGACTTGCGCTGCTGCACGCTCAGTTGTGCATGGATCACTAGAGAGGGATGTCCTAAGCTCTCTCTGAAGACGCCTGGAAGGGAAATATCTGGGCCAGAAGCAATTTCTAGTTTCAGTTTTCCGGAGGTTCTCCATACTGGTTGTACCAGCTGCACAGGCCTGCTCCTTCCTGTGGCTTGCTCCCTCTCGAGAGAGGTATCTGCCTTTGTGAGACCCGCTCAGGCCCCCTCAACACTGAGGCCCTGGCGACCTGGCCACGTGTTGCCAGGCCCCCAGGCCCCCCAAGAAATAAACAGCAATTTGAAATTATACTGTAACAGTACTGCCCAGTGAAGTCCTGGGCAACTCCTCCTCAGGGCCCAAGCTTCCAGTGCGTGAGCTGGTCAGGGAAAGATGTCTCCCAACCTCATGCAGCTCTGCAGCCTGGGTGTCCCATGGAGGCAGCCTTGCTCTCTCAGCTTGCCCTTTGTTTGGGACAAGGTCTCACTTTGCAGCCCCATCTGGCCTTGAACTCATTGCAATCCTCCTGCCTCAGCCTCCTGAGTGCTAGGATTACAGGAGTGTGCCACCACTTTTGGTTTTGCAAGGATTATTCTCCTGTGAGTCATTATTGTCATTTCTGCCTGTGACTGACTCTGTCTCTGTGTACTACAGTTTCAAATGGTGCTCATTAGTAGACCCACCTAAACATTTAAAACAGCAAGAGCAGGCTGGGCACGGTGGTACACACCTGTAGTACCAGCACTAGGGAGGCTGAGGCAGATCACTGTGAGTTCAAGACCAGGCTGGACTCTGAAGTGAGCTCAAGGCCAGCCTGAACTGCGTTTCAAGACTGTCTCAAAAAAACAAAATAGGGGCTGCGGAGCTAACTCAGCAGCACAAGCGCCTACCTGACAAGCAAAAGGTCCTGAGTTCAATCCCCAGTATCCAAACAAAACAGCAAAAGCAGAGGCCAGAGGAGTGCCATCCTCAGTGGGAACACTGACAACCAGCAGTGAGAGGAATGAAGCAGCCCAGTCTCCTGGAAGAACTCACCAGAAGCAGGAAGCGGCACTTAGCAAGTGGGAGCTCTTTGCCAGTGCACCAGTGCCAAGGGGCTGCCTTCCGGGTCGTCCTAGCTGGGTCGCAGGAGAGGCGTCCCTTGGGGATAGGCATAGCTGGCTTGCCAGGGACACTGTGGCACGGCTCAGCCTTGTTCAGTTCTGCTGCCCTCTTGCTTGCAGTACCAGGCAGAAGGATATTGGTTGATTGTGTTGTGCACGATACAACGTCAGACAGGCATGAGGCTGGCTTTTCACTGAGGACAGGGCTGGCTGAGCCGAAGGTGGAACCAGGCATGTACATGCATGCCTGTCATCCCAGTACCCAGGAAGCCGAGGCAGGCGGATGGCCCAGCTCCCAGGATAGGATGGTGTCCCTTTGCAGTCCCAGCTATTCAGAGAGGCCAGCCCTGGCAATTTGGCAAGATCTTGCATCAAAATAATTTTAGCTCAGCATGCTGGCTCACTCTTGTAATCCCAGCCTTCTGAGAGGCTGAGGCAGGAAGACTGGAAGTTCCAACCTAGCCTGGGCAATTTAGTGACAGCCAGATCCTGTCTCAAAATAAAAAATAAGATGGGCTGTGGATGTACCTCATTGCAAAGGCCCCAGGTTTTGGCCAGCTCAAGTTCAAGGTTGGGGTCCAACCAGTGTGTGACAAGTGGGAATCTGAAGCCACTTAACCCCTCAAGCAGGCGCACACACCTGAACACTTGCATATTGTCACCCAGCAGGGTGAACTGACCATATAGCCCTTGAATTCATGGCAAGCCTCCTGTCTCAGCCTCCCAAGCGGTAGGATTATAGGTATATGCCACTATGTCCAGCTAGTGGGGCTTCGCTTTGTTTTCATTTTGGTTTTTTGAGACTGGGTCTCGCTATGTGTTCAGGCTGTGCTTGAACTCACCGTGTAACCCAGGCTGGCATGGAACTCACAGCGATTCTCCTGCTTCAGCCTCCCTGGTCCTGGGATGACAGGCATTGGCCACAAAGCCCAGCTGGGTCTCAACCTTGGAAAGGTCCTGCTGTCAGATCAGCCGGTGGCCACATGGGCTCCAGCTCACGTGCTCTTGCCTTGTGCCCCGGCGTGCTCGCCAGCCTGCCCTAAACCTTCTTCCCAGGAGAGGCCTGGAGGGCCCGAGCTCCGGGCGGCCTCCAGGGGGCGCTGAGCGCGCGGTGTGGGTGCACGTGGCGCAGCCAGGCACGCGGGGCGGAAACGGCCATCGGCCACCCGGGCTGGGCAGAAGGGACAATGGGGCGAGCGAAGGGCCAAGCCCCGGGGCCCCGGCCCGGCCCAGGCTCGCTGCCGCCGGC